TCTCTACCAATCATGTTCATATGAATCATTCATTGTGACTTTTTTCTCCTCCCCTCAAATTTATCACCTCCTATTTACAGAAAACATTTGTAAGATTATCATGGCACTACTCAATTGGATTGATTAGCTGTGTACTCTTCCATGTCTTGTGAATTAACCTCCTTAAAAAGAGTAGACATGTTTTGTTTTTTCAAAACAGTATCATTGTTGCGGCTGTTGTTCCTGTTCTTGTTGTGTATGTTAATGAGATAAGTTCCTTTATATTTTAAAAAAAAGTGCCATGAATTTATTGGATAAAACTCTACTTCTTTTGAATTTCCAATAGCATCTTTTTCTGGCAGAGCTTTACACACATATATTTATTTATAAAAGTTGTTGACCTAATATTAGTTGGTTCTTTACCCAGATAATAATATTAAATGGGAAACATCTTGACTCAAAAGATTAGTTCAGTTGCATCATTTAATGCATACCATGTCAAAAATAGCAAGGAATGTAAATGGGGCAATTATCATTTATTGTGCACATTTTTCTTGTCAATTAGCAAAATCAGGGACCTCTGTGGTACAGTGTTCAATATCACCTTGAAGTTCCCATATTCCTCTAAGAGGTACAATACTGAATTCCCCAAGGCATCATGCCACTTCAGCATAAGTGTGTGTAGGAGATAGTGGAATGAAAGGAGAAGACAGATTAGAAAATTTCTCCCATTTTTTTCAGCATTTGAGAGAATTTTCCTTTGTCATTTGGGGCTTCATGATGATTGAAAAGGGCCAGTTATTTATTACACCAATATATCACATTGTATTGACATAACTCTTAAACCTTAAAATAAAAAACTCTGGTAGGTGACATGATTGTCTATGTAGAAAATACCAAAGAACCAACAACACAACAAACTCCTTGAACTAATAAGTGATTATACTAAGGTTGCAAGATAAAAGTTAACATACAAAAATCAATTGATTTCCTATAAGCCAGCAATTAACAACTGGAATTGAAAATTGAAACACATCGCTTATAATAACATTAAAAATATAAAATATTTAGTTATAAGTCTAACAATACATGCACAGGAGTCATTTAAGGAAAAGTACAAAATTCTGATGAAAGAAATCAAAGAAAGATCTAAATAATGAAGAGATAGTTCATGATAATGGGTAGGAAAATCCAATATTGTTAAGATGTCAGCTAAGATGTGAGTTCAGACATCTCACTAAAGTTGACATACAGATGGCAATAAGTATCTTAAAAGATGATCAACATAATATGTCATTAGATAATTAAAAATTAAAACAATAATTAGATACTACAACACACCTATTAGAATGGCCAAAATTTAAAACACTGACAACATCAAATGCTGACAAGATGGAAGGCTTTAACATCTCATTCATCGCTGGTTAGAATGTAGAATGATAAAGCAACTTTGCAAGACAGTTTGGCAGTTTTACATAAAGCTAAACATAGACTTACCATATGATCCAGAAATTGTGTTCCTAATTATTTACCCAAGTTGAAAAGTTATGTCCAGACAAAACCCTACACATGCATGTTTATAGAAGCTTTATATATAATTGCCAAAAATTGGAAGCAACCAAGACACATCCATCAATCAGTGAATAGATAAGCTGTAATATATCCATTCAATGGAATACTATTTAGCAATAAGAAAAAATAAGGTATCAAGCCACAAAAAGTCATAGAAGAACCTTTGATGCACGTTGATAAGTGAAATAATTCAGTCTAAAAAGGCTACATACTGGATGATTTCAACTATATGACATTCTAGAAAAGTGAAAAATACAGAAATACAAACAGATAAGTGGTTGCCAGGAATTCAGGGCAAGAAAAGGAAGGATGAATCAGTGGAACATAGGGGATTTTTAAGGCAGTGAAACTATTCTGTATGATACAGTAATCATGGATACATGATTTTTTTAGAATTTCTTTTCTTCTGCTGGCTTTAGCTTTGGTTTGCTCTTCCTTTTCTAATTCCTTGAGAGGTGTCGTTAGATTGGTAATTTGTGATCTTTCTGTCTTTTTGATATAGGCATGTAAGGCTATGAATTTTCACCTTACTTGTGCTGAATCCCATCGATTTTGGTAGCCTGTGTCTCCTTTGTTGTTCAGTTTGAGGAATCTTTTGATCTCTGTCTTAATTTCATTATTGACCCAATAATCGTTCAGCAGCAGGTCATATAATTTCTAAGACTTTGTGTAGAACTGAGTGTTTCTCTTGGAGTTGATTTCTAGTTTTATTTCACTGTAGTCTGAGAAGATACATAGTATGATTTCTACTTTTTTGAATTTGTTGAGACAGGAGAAGGTTCTATGTGCTGATGAGAAGAATGTATATTCAGTAGTTTTTGGGTAAAATGTTCTATAAATGTCTGTTAGGCCCATTTGTTCTAGAATTCCATTGAAGTACAGTGTTTTTTATTTATTTTCTGCTTGGATAATCTGTCCAGTTCTGTCAGTGGGGCGTTAAAGTCCCCAGCAATTACAATGCTGCTGTTTATCTCCTTGTTTAGAACTAGTAGGGTTTGCTTTATGAATCTGGGACCTCCTGTGTTTGCTGTATAAATATTTAGGATTGTTATGTCTTCTTTTTTAATTATTCCCTTTACCATTATATAATGACCATCTTTGTCTGTCTTTATTATTGCTGACTTAAAGTCAATTTTATATGATATGAGAATGGCTACACCTACTTTCTTCTGGTTTCCACTCGCATGGAATATTTTTTCCCATCCCTTCACTTTGAATCTGTGAGTCTGTGGGTTAGGTGTGTTTTCTGGAGACAGCAGATATTTGGGTTGTATTTTTTCATCCATTCAACCATCCTGTGGCTCTTGAGTGGGGCATTTAGACTGTTCACGTTGATTGATAGAATTGATATGTGAGATGTTATTCTGTTCATCCCATTGGGTAGAACCTCATTGCTTTGTTTTACCTGTTGTGCTATTGTTTTATATGGGCTCTGAGCTTTAGCTTTTGAGTGGTGCTGTTCCATGTAAAATGCAGTTCTGAGTATTTCCTGCAGGGCAGGTCTAGTCTTGACAAATTCCCTCAGTGTTTGCTTGTCTAGAAAGTCTTTATTTCTTCTTCATATATGAAACTTAGTTTTGCAGGATACAAAATTCTAGGCTGGCAGTTGTTCTGTTTAAGAAGACTGAAGATGAGGCTCTAATCCCTTCTGGCTTGTAAGGTCTCTATTAAGAAGTCTGCAGTTAGCCTGAGGGGTTTTCCTTTGTAAGTTACTTGATGTTTTTACCTCACAGCTCACAGGAGTTCCTCCTTCATGTTGACTTTGGCCAGTCTGATGGCTATGTGTCTTGGTGATCACCTCTTTGCAGTAGATCTCCTAGGTGTTCATTGAGCTTCTTATAGCTTGATGTGTAAATCTCTAGCAAGACCAGGGAAGTCTTCCTCAATTATTTCCTCAAATAGGTTTTCCAGCCCTTGTGTGTTTTCTTCTTCACCTTCAGGGATGCCTATGATTCTTATATTTGGCTGTTTTACATAATCCCATATGTCCTGTAGGCCTTGCTCATTCCTCATAATTCTCAGTTCTTTATTTTTGACTGATCTAGTTAATTCAAAAGCATTGTTTTCAAGCTCTTAGAGTCTTTCTTCTGCCTAGTCTAGTCTATTCTTAAAACTTTCCACTGTGCTTTGTATTTCCTTAAATGAATTTTTCATTTCCAGAAGTTCCATTTGTTTTTAACATATTGCTCTCTTTAGTAAATTTTTCATTCATTTCCTGAATTGTTTTTCTGATTTCTTTGAGTTGGTTTTCCATTTTCTCTTGGATTTCATTGAGCTTCCTTACATTTCATATTTGGAATTCTTTATCTGTCATTTCAATATTTTCATCTTGGTTGGTATCCATTACTAGAGAGCTGGTATTCCCTTTTGGGTGTGTCCTTTTGCTCTGATTTTTCACACTTCCAGAGTTCTTTCACTAATTCCTTCTCATCTAGGGCAACTGTCATTTCTTATTTTGGGATTTTCTTTTGTTTAGATGGGGCTTTCTTTTTCTTTCCCCCCTCACTGGTAAGGGACTGCCTGTAGCATATGTTGGTTAAGAACCTTTGGCTTTGCTTGTGGGTGCTTTGATGGGTCTAGGTTCTGGATGGATGCCCTGGCTATAGATATCCTTAGTGTGGTGGATTTCTCAGTTGCAAGTTGTTTGTAGGCTGTAGGTCATTATGTTATACATTTATCAAAACCCATAAAACTCTACAACACGAAGAATGAACCTTAATGTCAACTAAGAACTTTAATAATGGTGTATCAGTATTGGTTCATCAACTGTACCAAGTGTAGCACATCACTACAAGATGATGATAATAGGGGAAACTGCAGAGGGCTAGGGAGTACATAGGAATTCTGCACTTTCTGCTCGAATTTTCTGTAAACCTAAAACTTCTCTAAAATGTTAAGTCTATTAATTAAAAAAACTTTGTCCATTGCAAATAAAAATCTTACTCGGAAAATTATATATTACACATAGGTATAAAATATGCACACATATACATATATATGCATGTACACACATTCAAGTAAAGTATCAATAACTACACATCTCTTTTTACCGTAATTCTTAAATGTTATGCTCTGTTATTTTCCCTCTCCTAATATAATGTTTCTACGTGGACTAACAAGATAAACAGGAGGTAAGGAAATGCAGGCATCGATGCTGAATAATGCTTATAATAAATTTGGTAGTGAAGGGAAATAGGACCGAAATGGATAGTTACGGGAGTCTTAGGGTCTAGGAAAGAATTATTTTTAAAGGACATAATGATACCAACTATGAATATATATAATTGGTGGCTCAGTAAATTTTATTCTGTAGTTTTATTCTGTAATTTTATTCACTTTCTTGTCAAGAAATATAGATAGATATTTGATTATAAAACTGAATACCAAAAGTATATTTAACATTTTCCCAGTGCATGAAAATGTTTGGAAAAATAAAAACAAGCACATACCAATAACTCATCGATGCTGATCATTAGGACGTTCTCATATTCTTTGCCATCTTGACCTTCAATATCACAATCAGATGATGCTACCGGCAACAGAACAAGGATCAATGGAGGAATTCCAAAGATATACCTAAAAGAAACTAAATTTAACAGTAAATAAGAAAGAGTTAAATGTGATGTCATATTACATTTGATTGCAGTGTTTCAATGGACTTGATCACTTATTTCTAATAATTTTTAGAATGCAGCTCAGTTTTGGAGTAGTGCAGGAAGAGCCCAAAAAGTTGAAATTATGTAACAAAGAAAGTGGGATGGCATTTTGGCATGTAGATTTCTTTCACTTTTTTTATTTTGAAATTACTCTTCGGGAAAGTGCAAAAGGGATTTGATGAAATCAGAGACTCCTTGCTTCTGAAAAACACTCCAGAGTGTAATGACAATTTGTTCAATTGGGTTTATGCTGAACATCACTGTAAAAATAGATCTACAGGTCTAGAGGTGTACTACAGTTTAAAGAGTTACACGTTGTTTGAAATTTTGTGGTGTATGTGCAGTGTTCCCCCAACCTTTTTGGAACCAGGGACTGGTTTCACGGAAGACAATTTTTCCATGCACGGCGTCGGGGGTGGAGGCAGAGCTCAGGTGGTGATGTGAGCAAGTGGGGTCGGGGAGGTGCAGTGGAGCTCTGCATCCCAGCCCCTAGCGGGTACGGGTCCTCGGCCCAGAGGTTGGGGACCGCAGGTGTATGGTTCATGATTGCATATTTTTGTAAAATGTGACAGTAGTCCGTGTGTCCAGTTACTTCCTGGAGGCAGCACTGTGGGAGGTTAATCTTCTTGGTGCTGCACTGTGATTATGTTCTTTCTTTTTAAACCTTAAAGGGTTTACAGTTCCCAAAACTCTTATAAATTCAACCTTTGCATTTTGGGACTTCTCTTCCTATTCTTTCACTATCTTCTGTTTCTAAATGCTCATGGACCTATACTCTTTTCAAACACAGTTCTGTCCAGCTTCTTGCCATGTTAGAGAAGCTCAATAAATAAACTCACATCCTGGTAACCAATGATTTATATCTGTTTTTTGTAACCCTTCCCAATGAAGGACAATTGTCCAGTCAAAAGAAATGAAATTATAAATGGTATCATTTGGGGCAGTTATGATGGAAAGCCAGGGATTCCCAGAAACATTAAAATCTGGTTATATAGGGACCTATTTCTTCATAAGCCTGCCGTAGTGTCTTGTTTGCATCATTCTGTAAACTCCTGAGTTACAGTGACAATTTATTTTCTCTGAATTTCCCAAATGAACTTTAACTGTACTTGTTGAGTGCAAGACGTTTCACTTGCATGTCTTCTCTGATTATGAGTACAAACAACACTCCTTCAAACCCAAGGAACTAATATTGTGACAACAGCCTAACTGTTTAGGATATCATAAAGTTCCCAACAACATTGTCATCTATTATATCATTATCTGTCATATAAAAAATCAGTAGCACTCCCCAATAAATTAACTGACCTATATTTTTACAATTAGAGAATGTTAGCTGGGTAGCAGTTATGGGAACAAAGATAAATCCTGCTTTTCCTTTGCATATGTGACTGACACTTGACATAGTAAGAGAAACAAAAATAATCTAGAAATGAGACAAAATTGGCAAAATCTATTCATAGCTCTGCCACTAAATGCCTATACGAATGATGAGCAAGAATTCACTTAGGAGACTAATAATGATGATGCTAGTTTCCTTTAACTGAGTACCTACCATGTACCAGGGACTGTTTATCTACATATACACACACATAAATATGTAATCTCTAAATATCAAAAGAGTCCTTCAAGTTAATCTCATTATAACACACAGAGAGTAGGTGCCAGGTCTGGATGCTAACCTGATTTTGTTGCCTCACCAGGATTTGATCAGAAATGTTCAGAATCTATTGAGAATATGTAACACATTGGTCTTCTGAATGAAAACCACTTCCATGTAATATTATTCAATTTTGCCTCTCTCTTCTACTGTGGTTCCTTTATCCTAAAGATTCTCAAACAATAATGAACTGCTAATTATTTACAGGTTCTAACCTTGTAATCAGATTTGTATAGATTGTACAGAAACAAACTTTTCATTCTCTCTGTCATCTTACAGGTATTCAAAAGGTATACTTTGAGAGGAGTAGGTGATGATAAAGGAAAAATTATGTGGCATTTAACTTGACATGAGCTTAAAGGAGAATATAATAAAATAATTAAATACTAAAGAGATATTTTTGCCATTATCCTAAATGTTATTTCAAAGGTCAACCTTTTATGTTTTAATAAGTGTGATTGTTTTATTTTTTATGAGCATCGCCTGTCCTCTTAACCCCAATTTTCAACACTAAGTGTTCCTAAAATTCACATCAACCTATTCATTCACTGGATGACATTTTGTCAATGCTTTCCAATGATGGATTGGTGGAAAATCCACAGTCTTTTTATTTGTATATTACAACTGGTTTCTCAATTCTAACACATAATTTCCCTTGCCTGTAAAGAGCATATTCTATTGTTGAGTTCCATTGTTGTTGAATAATTAGCCCAGATAGACTAGGGCAATGCAAAGCACAAAGGGTTTGCAATATGGAGACCTGAGATTTTTGTCTTGGTATGACAATGGGTTGTGTGACTGAGAGAATGACAGAGCATCTTTTAAGCTTCACTTACCTGATTTCTAAAATTAAACCTTTAGACTAAATGATCTCTTGATATTACTGTCAGCTCTTAGGCACCTTAATTCTAAGACTCTACCTGCCCATCCAAAAACTCCAGAAACTCTTCAGATTTGAAATTACCTCAGGGAAATGCTGCAAACACACCCAGGGCCTGGGACTCGCATCTCTTAGGTTCTTGGCTTTCTCATTAATGATGTGTACTTTGGTCTGTAATTGAAGTCCTTTCTCTCGCACCACACAGAGAGTAACATACTAAGATTGTCTGAGTTGAGAGTCCTTTTGACATTGTTGTCACACTCAACCCTGAACTTTTCTTTAGGTTACAGAAAAGATAAACCATAAGGAACAATGCAAGGCAAGTGTGGGCTTGTGGAATTGTCTTTAGATCTCCTGAAGGGATTGAAACTGGAGAATTTGTTTTCAGTAGGGAATTTGGTTAAACCAGAATGATGGCTGTCTAAAAATTCTTGTTGGTTTTTAATTTAAGCCAAATAATACATTCAATCCTCAACTGCTTAAGTTATGGGGTCAAAGTGAACGTAAATAAATTGTTTTACACAGTCCCTCAAATCCAGCCTTTTATCAGTCTTTAAGATCAATGTTTACTGAATGTTCATGACATAGACCTATTTTCACTGGGAATTTAATTCTATAACCATTTCACATAATCATTTCATAAGGTAAGTACCGTAAGCTATTTACATTTTATAGATGGAGATCTGGGGCACAAAGAAAATTTGTCCTATATATAATGTATCTAGTAAGAGCCACGATTCAAATCCGGGTTTGTCAGACTGAATAATCTAGAAACTCAGCTTTCAGCTGCTGGACTATACTGCTTCCTATAAAAATAACTGTTACGTGTAGTCAAGGGGAATGCACCAAAACACCATCTTCCTCTGCATGAACTGCAGTGAGATACTTCCTGACCAAGCTATGAAACTGCATCATGAGCTCTTATTTCAGAAAAAAAAAAAAAAAGACACTAAATATTTTCTCTCATTGTAGTAGGTTAGGTGTGAGGGGTGAAACCAGAAAAAAAAAAAAAATCTCACACACGAGTGTGATTATAACATTTAAGTTGGTCCTATGAAATAATCTTTTCCATTTTTAGGATATTTAAACACTGATGTGATACAGTTTGAAATTCTCCTTTTTACCTGTTCAGGCTTTCTAATTTTTCTCAGTTCCCTCTCCCTCTCTTTCTCTTTCTTTTTTTAATAACTATTCTATTTTCAGTCCTCAAATATGATGAAATTAACCAAACCAGATAGCATAGTTGAAGACCACATAGTAAGTCCTCAACTACCTCAACTCCCAAAAGAAATGGGAAAAAAAAGTGTAGAGTAACCTTATTCACCCTCTTGCTGGAGCTTAATCTTTTAGAGAAATCTCTTGAAACATAATGCAGAAACACACTCATTATAATCATTACTATTAGAATTTTAATATTTTGTCTGCTAATAACAACTTATGGTGAATGATTAATACAGACATGCTGTAGGAAATAAAGGCTCTTTGTTAAAAATGCACACTCTAGCTTCCAGTTCTTATTTCATCTTTCTACTTTGGATCAGAGGCAATGCAAGGCTTAGGACGAGAAGTGATCCAGGAAGAAGTAATTGCAAGAGAACCACGGGCTTTGCAAGAAAAACAGGGACGTGTTCAATGCTTAATTTTATATTAAGCCCCTACAAATAGTCTTCCAAAATTGTCTTGGGTATCTTCCCCCTCCCCCTACCTTTATTTTGTTACAGATCCAGTAGTCCTTGGTTATAGCAATTCTTGTTTTTTTAATATCTATGGTGGGGGAAAAGACCACTTTTGATCTAATGGAGTAGCCAGGAAAGCGCACAGGGAAGAGCAGTTAGTTCCCTATTCCCGCACCCTCCCCCACTGTCCTCTTTGGCTTGAGGAAGTACTGACTGTAAAACATTCCAATTCCCTAAGCGGATCCTCTCCCCTCACATCTCTTTTCCCCCTTTTTCTTTCCAGTAATTTTTTTGGAGGGGGGGGGGGTCTTTACATTGGCTACAAGGCTGCCAACGGAATCCAGCCCACCTCGATTCTGCCCTCGTACATTTTAAATCCGTATTCCGCGCAAATAAAATATATGAGATCTCAGCTAGGGTCTAGAATTTAAACTCATGACTATTTAATCCTGCCACCATCGAGGAGCGAGCATGCAGGGAAAAACAGAAGCTGGCCGTTCTCCGTGCCAGCCCCAGGGCTTGGGTTCCCAGCAAACAGCACAAGGTACAGCCCCAGTCGGAAACTCCCAACCTGACTCAGGGGGAAACACGGGGTTTTCCGAAGACCTGTCCCCTGAGGGTTTAAAAGCGCGTCCCGTGGGAGCTTCGCTTTCACTTCTCTAGGGAGTTCGGAGCTGCAAGAGCCCAGCTGCTCGCCAAACCCCGGCCGCCTGCGTGAGTGACTTGGCACAGCCAGAAACACGGTAAGGGCGGGTTGGGCGCCTGTTTAGCAGAAGGCAGCGCTGGCTAGGGGCAGACAGACAAGACAGACAGGCTAATAGACAGAGAACCACTGGCTACCTCTGAGACCGGGCTGTAGGCTGCCGCCGCTGAGCAACGCGGAGGCTGCCGCGCTCGGTCTCGGCACAGAAAGCAGGCGTCCGGGACTGCTTCTCACAGTCTGCCGGGCGCAGCAGCCAGAGGTGTGCTATGGGCCACAGGACTCAGGCTCAGCTGGCAGCTGCCCGTGGGAGAGCCAGTGCTCTCGGCAGGTCCAAAGTGCAAGGCCGGGCTATTCCCGGACGTGCCGTGCAGCGGGGGCCAGCAGCGCGTCCCGGAGTGCCCCGGCGCGCTGGGCGCGCGAAGTCGTGCGCCGCGCGAGAGGAGCGCTTACCATGGAACATGGTCCGCGGGAGGGGGGCGTAGTCATGATGACCGCAACTGTAGCAGGAGCAAGTTCTCACCGCCCATAGCCATTCCCAGGACCCTGGTCTTCCGCGGAGTTGCCGAGAGCGGTTGCCCAGTAGGGCGATTGCTGAAGCTGGTTCCTCTCACCCACGCCGCGCCTGCTGTTTCATCCATCCCAGGGGGGGCGGCACACACCACGGCCAGGCTCTGCGCTTTGCCTTTTCCATAACTTCCGTAGGATCCGCCGGCGGTGTACTTTCAGTTTCTACTTTGCGCTTGGTCTGCAGGTTGAGTCTTTGGGTTTATCACCGGCGCGCCTTCACCACCTCCTCTCCTGGCCACCTGCTTCCCATGCACCTGGACCTGGACCAGAGGAGGGCGCGAATTTCCAAAGCACCGCAGGAGAAACGAGCCTGCTTTCTGAATCAGAGCGATTCGGGGTAAAACGACTTGTCAGAGGACCTCTAAACTCCTTGGCAAACGCTGGGCGACTCTATTGCTAGTAAGTCCACAAAAGCCACGAATGTGCAAGACGCGAGCTGGACTACTGCAAGTGGACGCCACCGAGGAGGCGTCGCAGCTCCCGCCGCGGATGTGGTGGACGATGCCAAGTCATCTTGTAAAAAAAGGAAGTGAAGAATGATTAAGAGGGTCACGCCCTCTGCCCCTCCAACCTCTCTAATCAGTTTCTTTCAGCTCTGTCTTCTGTATGTGCACCTGCTCGGGTGGGACCTCAAGGAAAAATAATCCTGTGGGTCCACCTAATCTGGTAAGTGGTATCTTTGGAAAATCAAGCTCCAAGTTGAGTGGAGGACATGGAAACTGACAATAATAGTTAATAACTGTGACTTCCACTTGCATATTTATCTGCATTGGCTAATAAATCACACTGTCTGTCTTGACTGTGTGTCTCTGAGGTGTTAATTTTTTCCTAGGTCTGAATTATCTAGGTCTTTTCTGCATTATTTGGGTTTGATATTCTGCAGAAACCCTGAAGGTGGATAATGTAAACCAGTAACAACAACAGAGATAATAATAACGGCTATCTCGCATTTGCTCTCTGCCAGTATTGTGCTAAGCATTCTGCACATATCGTCTCATGCAAAGCTTTCGATGAGGTAGACCATTTTCTTATCTGCACTTTACAGATGGGAGAACTTAGACTTCCCTGAGTGACTTGTCAGAGTCCACTTAGCTAGCAGAGTTTGGATACAAACCTGCTGCATTTTGGCTCTAGAGTCCATGCTTGGAAATCCTGTTAGAAGTCCTTGTGAATAATGCAGTAATGTAGACATTGACGCCAGGAGGGAGACATCTGCATGTGGGTGTGCCTTTGCCAGGGTGTGGCAAACCTCAGGAAAGGTGTCTGGAATCTGTGATTTCTAAATTGCTACCTGAACAGGAATGAACTTGGGGCTTGTGAAGAACATTCTACTTTCTGTCACAGTGTGAACAAAAAACAGGAAAAGAGGAGGCAGGGAGAAAGAAACAGAATAACAATGAATTAGAGAGTGAGACAGTTACTCAAGCCTGAACTTTGGATCTCTGTGTCCTCTTTTAGTCTCACTTATCACATCCAATCCATAGGCAAGTCCTGCTTGCTCTACCTCCAAAATAAACCCTGCAGGGTGACTACAGAAGCTGTCTAAGGGATCTTGCAGCTTTCACTCTTGCCAATAACCCCCTCATTCTCCTCAGAGCAGTGGGATATCTGATTACAATTCCCGTCCTTTTTGGTCACTTCCCACTGGGTACCAGGCAAAGGCCCCGCTGCCCTCCCTGACGGCTGCCCCCTCATACCTACCTCACTGTGTTCCAGCAACAGTGCCCTTTTTCTTCCAGCCCAGCTTACTTCCACATAGAATGATCACCAGCACATGGCTGGCATTCAGTAAGTATTGCTCAGTGACAGTGTAAGAGAGAACGAGTGAATGAGAATGCATGAATGAATATGTGTGAAAGAGAAAGTGTGTGAAGGCAGAAGGGAAACAGAAGGAAAGAGGAAGAGAATGAGCGGAGCGAATGAAAACAGGAGACAGAACGGAGTGGGAAAAGCCAAGTATTTCCATTTGACTAAAACCTGGAGTGACAGGTGGAGAAGAGAGAGACATGGGACTGGAGTGGCTTTTAAAAATGAATTCTATAACTAAACACACCTAGCTTGGGGATTTATTTATTTAAAATCCCTGACAGCAGCAGCATTGAAGTACGTAACTGCTTGTAGTCTGCACATTTTTTTTTTTTTTTACTTTTCAGGAACAAAATAAAAGTGCATTCATTAATAACTTAAGAGGAAATCCATCTTCCTTTTTGTTAAAATCACCATAATGCCTGGCAGAATAAGGGCTTGTGCATACCTGAACTTTGGGAGACCATAAGGGGAAATTAGGGTTCTGGGAGAGAAGATGTAAATTTCTCACTGGACTCTTCCTGTAAATTGAAGCATTTCGAGTCTTTGTGGTTATGTGAAAATGGGCACATTCTAACTACATCAAGTTATTATTTTTCTAAAAGAGAATAAATATCATTTGTAAAAAATTCCAAAATGAAATCTTAAATTGGCTTTTGATAATCTGAATGCTATTTCTTATAAGACAGATGGACAAGGAAAATGTTTTATAAATTTTTAAAATGCTAATTTTTCATGAATAAAGAAATGCGGTGATTACTCTTATGTTTGCTCATAGACTCAATGATTTATGCAGAAAAGCAAACGAGACAAAATAGTATATCAATTCTATGAATTATAATCAAAATATTAAAAGGGAAGACAACATTCTCAGAATGATGAATGAATATATGATGTCAACTTAAATAGAAAATTTTCATATAACCAATGCTTAATGTTCTATAATCTTCAATCAAAATAGTCAATTATTGTTAGCCTAAAAATACTTTCTTGCTTAATTATCTGAAGTATTTTTCCTCAACTAAATATGACTACTCTTTATAGTCTGTGATCTGAATTTTATCTATTGCTCTTTCTATGGATAGTTTCTGAATTCTTATGGTTTAACGTTCCAGGCATAATATTCAACATATTTCACACACGCACTCATAGATAGACACACACACACACACACACACACACACACACACACACACACACACACACAGTCAGCTTTAGGACCCGTGCATCTGTGCAGTCGCTCAGGGGCCTGTACTTAGAAGGACCAATTCTTGGTTTGATGCTCTGCTGTCAATGCCTTGAAATTCTTAATTATTTTTGGGCAAAGGGGATGCTTATTTCTACTTTATACTGGGTCTCACAAATTCTGTAACTGGTCATGGACATTCGTACATGTTAAGTTAAACATTGTGGATAGCAATCCATGTCTTTAAGGTGGTTTCAGTCTGGTGGGAAAAATAGATGTTAAATGTCTAATTTCAAAGAGGAAGAATACTATGAGAAAAAGAAGCTTTTAAATTCAATCAAGTCCCGTTTATTGATTTTTGTAGTTGCTGTAATTGCCTTTGGGGTCTTAGTGATAAATTCTTTGCCTAGGCTGACATCTAGAAGAGTTTTTCCTATCTTCTCTTCTAGAATTTTTATGATTTCATGACTTACGTTTAAATCTTTTCTCCATCTTGAATTAATTTTTGTAAGTATGAGAGATAGGGGTCCTGCTTAATTCTTTTGCATATGGCTATTCAATTTTCCCAGCACCATTTATTGCAAAGGGATTCTTTTCCACAGTGTATATCATTGTTTGCTTTGTCGAAGATCACTTGGTTGTAGGTAGACGATTTCATATTTGGGCTCTCTGTTCTGTTCCATTGTTCTGTCTCTATTTTTGTACCAATACCCTATTTTGGTTATTATACCCTTGTAGTATAGTTTGAAGTCTGGTAATGTTATGCTTCCAGATTTGCTCTTTTTACTTAGGATTGCTTTCGCTATTCGGGCAATGTTTTGATTCCAAAAAAAGCATAGAATTATTTTTCTAGATCTGTAAAATATGATATTGGTATTTTGATGAGGATTGCATTGAATCTGTAAATCACTTTGGACATATGGACATTTTAACAATGTTGATTCTATTGATCCATGAGCATGATATGTTTATCCATTTGTTTGCGTCATCTGTGATTTCTTTTATAAGTGTTTTGTAGTTCTTCTTATAGAGATCTTTCACTTCCTTCATTTAGTATATTCCTAAGTATTTTTTTTTTTGTAAATTAGCTATTGTGAATGGTATTGAGTCTTTGATTTGACTTTCAGCTTGACTGTTATTGGCATATAGAAATGCTACTGATTTGTGTACATTGATTTTGTATCATGAGACTTTGCTGAAGTTATCAATTCCAGGAGTCTCTTGGTAGAGTCTTTGAGATTTTCTGGATACAGGATCATATCATCAGTGAAAAGCAATAATTTGACCTCCTCTTTCCCAATTTGGATATCCTTTATTTCTTTCTTTTGTCCGATTGCTCTGGCTAGGACTTCCAGTACTATGTTGAATAGAAGTGGTGACGGTGTGCACCTTTGTCTTATTCCAGTTCTTAGGGGGAATGCTTTCAACTTTTCACCATTCAGTATGATATTGGCTATGGGTTTGTCATATATGGCTTTTATAATTTTGAGATATGTTCCTTCTATGCCTAGTTTGTTGAGGGTTTTTATCATGAAAGGGTGCTGGATTTTGTTGAATGCTTTTTCTGCATCTGTTGTGAAGATCATATAGCTTCTGCACAGCAAAGAAAATAATCAATGGAGCACAAAGACAACCTACAGAATGAAAGAAAATATTTGCAAACTATGCATCTGATAAAAGGCTAATATCCAGAATCTACAAAGAACTCAAAAAAATCAGCAAGAAAACGCCATAGCACTCACTCTAGCCCGGGCAACAAAGAGAGACTCTGTCTCAGAAAAAAAAAAAA